ATATAAAACCAGTCATTTTAAAAATAATTTTTATTGACTGTTTGGTATTTTTTAATAATAATGGCAAAATTAGAGCACCGGTCATTATGCCATAAAGAGAAAAACATCATTTGCCAGCCTTCAACAATTGCCTGAGATTTCACCTTTGCTCTCAAGAAACGTTCACTTTCTAACAGGAGGTCATGTACCCATTTCCTAAAAGCAGAATTCATAAATGAGAACTCTAGAAAGAGGGAGAACCATCTTGAACATTAAACCATTGTTCTCTTTCATTTTTGATCAGACACGGCCAGTTTCTCTGTGTAATGACAACTGCCTTCTGGGATACAGAAAGGCAAAGGAGGAGGGGGAGCCATTTTGCTGCTATGATTGCCTTCCATGTCCAGAAGGGAAAATTTCCAATCAAACTGGTAAGTGATGCAGTATAGTGAGTTCATCAAAACTCAGATGAAATTGCTGTGATCCAAAATATGTTTCATGTTTTCCATAGCATTTCACAACCTAGGGGTTACTGGTACAATGTTCTGCTCTGTCATAAAATTGGAGTGTGTATACCTTCCTTATATGTCTCATGGCTGGATTAGATAGATATAGGCAGGGATAGGGACTTAAGTTGCAGGGCTCACTGTCAAGATGGATTTAAGTTGCACTGGTGACTCAGCTCAGACCCAACTCTTTTTATTCCAATGACTCAGATTCAACTCATGTCTTGGAGCCTGCCCACCCCCTCAGTTTTTTTTCTGGGGAAAAGAGCTTTAAAAAATTAGACACTTGGGGCTTGGGACTTGGACCCAAAGACTTGTCAACATCCCTGGATATAGGCAGATTCCTTGGTTAAACCTCAGAGGTCTTTGTGCTGTAAGGTCTGTAGATCTTCAGCTGTAAGATCGAATCCATGTGGCGGAGTGAGCACCTGTCGCTTGTCCCAGCTCCTGCCAACCTAGCGGTTCAAAAGCTTGCGAATGCAAGTAGATAAATAGGGACCATCTCGGTGGGAAGGTAACAGTGTTCCATGTCTAAGTCGCACTGGCCACGTGACCACGGAAGATTGTCTTCGGACAAATGCTGGCTCTATGACTTGGAAACAGGAATGAGCACTGCCCCCTAGAGTCGAACACGACTGGACAAAAATTGTCAAGGGGAACCTTTACCTTGGCCCATTAGAAAATGTTACAGCATTGCAATAGCACACTTTATTTACTAGGGCCAACTCAAATATGACAAAATAATCTAACATCATGAAGCAGTGTCTGAAATCCTGTTACATAACTTATGCCTGAAGAAAAAGGATGATTCCTTTTCAATGACTTCTCTGATTTGTGAGTCATCACTTTTATTGTGTAGAAGCAGTGGGATCCACAGGGTGGAAGAAGGAAGTCTATAAGGAACAACAACAACAAAAACATTGCCAGATGGCATTACTGGGAAAGAGAGTTTTTCAGAAATTAAAGACTTCCTCCTTCCTCTATTCTACGAAGTGGATTATTGAGTCAGACAAGCCACCAGAAAGGAGAAGGCATTTCTGAAAACCACCTCTGCCAGTGTTGTCATCAGCTTTCTACTTGTGCAATGGGATTTGGGGCAATTAGTAAAAACACTGAAAAAACTGCTTACTGTCTTTGCAAATCATAAGACTGAATTACAAACTAAAGTGCATGCACCCAAGTCTCAGTTTCTTTCTTGTTCTGAACATAACCTAGGAACTTACTTTCAAGGAAAAATCAATATATAGACATACTGAAGCCAACCATAAATGCAGTGTTAAGACTATGCTCTCAGGGTTTCCTAAAGCTTCCTTGATTATGGGTGAAATCACCTCATTCACTTCTTGAATAAATAATTTCCCAAGCTATGCTCAGCAGGAAATGCTACAGGCCCAATCTCTATGAGAACCAGGACAACAGTCAAAACTCAGCTTTACTCCAGTGGTAGTTTATCCTCTTAAATGTGTGTGTGGTGTGTGGTGTGCCAAGTAAACTAACAGAGAGATGCTGCTTCTAGTTTCTCTATCTTCTACTGCCGCAGTGTAGGGGTGGGGTGGGAAAATAGACATAGTACTGCTGTGGATATATGGCAACATAAGTGTAACTATATTAAAAACAGGGTGAAAAATTATTGAGTTACCATTCATATTCCTAGACACATAGAAGGTTCCATGACTAAGTATGTGAACAGCAACATCTTAATTAGTGGCAACTTGCCACCATGATTTATTTAATTATGCTTACACTGGAGTAAATCCTCAGCAGGATTCTGACCAATATTTTTAGTTTTGATCCTTTACTCAGGGACGTATAGCATTGTAAGCCACTGTATGTGGGGGTTGTAATGTCTAGAAATCAACATTTTCTTTTCCAGACATGGACAGTTGTATTCAGTGTCCAGAAGATCATTATTCTAACAATCAGAGGGATGCATGCATTCCCAAAAGGATAAGCTTTTTGTCTTACAAAGAACCTTTGGGGATCAGTTTAGCCATCACGGCTCTTCATTTTTCTTTCATCACAGCTCTGGTGCTTGGCATCTTCATTAAGCATCAAGACA